TTGCAGGTTGGTCTATTTTGTATGGGTTAGTGCATGGTTTTAAAACTAAATGACGCATTTTTCAAGCTGACTTCTAACTTCATATTAAAGTACATTAACTTTAAAACCAAAGCAATAACGTGAGCAAAAAATATAATATTATTAGATTTGAGAAAGTATATTAAAATATATGCAGATCTTCCAGTTCAGTTATTTGAAATGGTATAGAAACTTTGGTCTCAAAGATGTTATTTTAAAAGGGAAACCTTCCCTCCTTCGGAGGCATGTCCTGCTAAAGGAAATGTTCAGTGCAGTTGGAAACGACGTGCAAGCACAAACTACTGCAGTGCTCTTTCCAAGTCGTTTACAATGCCCCTTGGACGGTTTACAATCAACACAGAGCTGATATTGAGACGAATTAACAAGCTTCTTTTAATTAACTGGCCTATTATGAGTAAAACATTTGGCTCAATGGATTACGGAAACTGTTCTTTCTCCATATTCAAATCACATTACCACATACCACCAGAGCAAAGGAGAACGGACGTTTTGGGTAAGAAGTAGCGGAACTCAAGTGAATTACAGCTCATTAAATTTAATATTGTGATCCCGCTCTCATGCAAACCGTACAGGTAGAGGTACCACGTTTAAAAATTGTCTTAACCTGAGATCTCGTTGCAGGTTGGTCTATTTTGTATGGGTTAGTGCATGGTTTTAAACTAAATGACGCATTTTTCAAGCTGACTTCTAACTTCAGATTAAAGTACATTAACATTAAAACCAAAGCAATAACGTGAGCAAAAAATATAATATTATTAGATTTGAGAAAGTATATTAAAATATATGCAGATCATCCAATTCAGTTATTTGAAATGGTATAGATACTTTGGTCTCAAAATGACGCATTGTTCAAGCTGACTTCTAACTTCATATTAATGTACATTAACGAAAGTGAAGAATGATCATCGCAGTAAATTCATCGCGGAGGTCACGGGTTCGAATCCCGTTGAAGCCCTGATATTTTTTTTCAGGCTTCTTCTTTCCAGTTGCTTAAATTGGAAAATTTACTGCGACGATCATTCTTCACTTT